CTAACCTACGCGTCGTGTAGGAGGCGAAAAAGGTTGAAGTCAAACCAGCAAGGTACAGTGACGACGTGAAAAGCTGCAATCCTTGGTTGTCGTATTTGCAGTAATTACTGTCTAGTCCTTTCTCTAACACTGTCTTTCTGTATACCGATGGAAAAAACTTCTTCAAGAACGGTGGCATAGACGTCACACCACCTGATTAACATTATATAATTAATTAATACAACCATTTCATTTAAATCAAAAACAAAAAATTAATGAAGTATTGACCATGTGAAATATATTGGCATTAGCAAGTGAGTTATGTGAAATCTCGAAATTGCCCTTACAGGTTATTTGGTTAAAATGCGGTGGTTGAGCAATTTTGGGAACTTACGTGAGATTCCCATATTAACGCCTCACCAGTCATCAAGGCAAACCAGTATCCGTTCAACCTCTTTTGGTTTTTTAGGTGAAAAAAAACTAATATTGTAAATATTTCATTATCCAATCCAAAATTGTTTTTTTCATAACTGCTATGTCAAATTAACTTTTCTTACGATTTTGTTCATCAAGAAAAGTTTATGTTATCTACCACTTAATGCGATTTCGTAACGTAACCCCTAATATTTTTGGAGTTTACAATAACATCTTTGGTAGAAAGAGATAGTAATGTATTTTAAACAATAAGGGATAAATGTCTAATAAGTGAGTCTAGTATTCCTTAAACAATTGAGGAAAATTAGAATAAGAATAGAAATTAATACATGAGAATTATTAGAAATTAAAAAAATGATTTTTGTTTTACTTTTTAAAAAATAGGGTGTGGCTAGGTAGGTGAAAAAGAAAAAACTGTAGACCTGAAACGCCGACGTCGTAGCCGAACATGAGACCTCCGGTGGCAGCCATGATGCATGAAATGATGACGATCGGAGTAATTTTGGCCTCGAATTCGCCGCCTCCGCCGCCATTGGTGAAACCTCCGCCGGCCATGGGTAGTGTTTGGAACGAAGAATCAAACAGAAAAAACAAAGGCAATGCGAGAGAGAGAGAGTGTTGGTAATGAAAATTGTGAAGAGAGTGAAGAGTTATTTATAAGCGAGGGAGAAGGACGGTGATGATGCAAATGGAGCCACGTGGCCTTTTCAGATTCACTTTTTACTCTTATCTTCCTTCTTGATGGCTATCAAGTCAAACCCCGGATTTGGTTAATAGTTAATATATACAGCTAACAATTTTGATTCTATATCTTATAATTAGATTATTAGTCACCAGACTAACCACATCCTCATCTAATCACCTTCAACTAACTCTATATCTTCTGTTTTTAAGCCAATTTTACTCACTATCTTTAAAATTATATAAACTCTTCTTTTATTAGTTGAATCTGTACCATTTTTCATTCTTACACTGCACTATTCAACTTTTTAATTATTAATAAAATCTTATTACTGAAAAAAATACATAATTAATGTAACAATATATAATAAATTATAAATTTACGATAATTTTAAACATTCATTTTAATTGACGACTTTATTTTTAAATTTTATTTTCTTTATTCATTTTTAGAAAAGTCATTATAATTTATATCTTTAATTAAAAGTTAGTTGTAAAGCCATTATCCACTCTCTCTATCTAATTGTCCAAAAGAATCTATCCATTTTTTTTCTCATTTTATTTGTCTGAATTCACGTACAATTTATTTGTCTTAAATTTCTTATTTTTATAACATATATATCTATATATTAAATATGAACAATTATCTTATGCAATAATAATTTTACAAACATTTCTTCAACAAAAAAGTTTGTATGAATTTTTTTAAATTTTTATTTAAATTATTTTTTATTTATCATAAATATTTATTAAATACATATTAATATTTTAAAATAAATTATTGATAAATAAAAAATATGCTAAAATATAAATTATTTATCATCAATTTACAATATAATTTATATGGATTTTTTTTTGTTCGTCCCTGGAGTATCCACTGCCGATACCGGTGACTAATCTCCTCGCTACGTTAGAGGCACCTCAAAGGGTGGGATATAAATTTTAAATATAATTTATATGTTTAAAAATATCTATTTATATAAATTTTAAATATAATTTATATATTCAACGTAGTATTTATATATATAATTTATTATAAATTTTAATTATATATAATAAACATATTTATACATTACACAAACTAAAATATTAGTTTATAAATTAAGTTTTAATAATTTTTAAAATAAATTATCAATAATTAAAAATAATTTTGTGTCACGATATAAATTAGTTATCTTAAATCTAAAATATATTTATTTGATTAAAAATGTTCATTAATTATACAATTCAATTATAATATATTTTTATATTTATTATAAAAAAATGTATAAAATAAATTTAGCTAATTTGTACTTTTAGTTTCCTATGACACCCAAATTTTGATCTCCCAAATTTTAATTCTATAATGTTCTTCCTTAATTTTATAAAATCTATAATTTTTTATCAATATTAATTATTTATGTACTAACTGCTAAAATTATAATATTGATATATTAAGAAGATGACATACTAATTCTTTATCATTTACTGATAAAAAAAAATTAAAAAAATCATTTTATAATAATAATCAAATAAAAAATATTTAAACTAGTATTTTAAAACATATAAAAGTGCTTTAAAATTAAATTTAATTAACAAAAAACATTAAATTTGAAATTAAACTGGATTATAAAATGAGCTTAATTTAATATATTATTAAGGTAATAATTTTTACAAGATCCACTGATTAAAAATTATATAACATATGTAATTTTTTAAGACTCCTTTGGAGTTAAAGATAAGATAAAATAAATCATTTTATGCTAATTTAGTGGATATTATTTAATGCATGAAAATATATAACCATTATTGTCTTACTATTTATTTTATCTTGATGGATTAGTAATTAATTATCATTCAATTATTAAAAATATTTATTTAATTTATCTTTTGTCTAACAAATATTTATTTTATCCTATTGGCTATTCTAATATTCTATCGGGATCAGGAAATTATTATCACATTGGAGGAATTGGTTACAACAAACACACGCATGAACTAAAATTGAAATTGTATCTTCTGTTAGAGTCTTTTTACGAATGAGTTTTAATCATTTTATTTTTTAATATTTTATTTTCTAGTATTGTTTTCCTACTCAACTTTCCTTTCTCCTTACTTTTTTTTTATTACTAATTTTATTTAAGATGTAAACTTTCTCGTTTTGAATCTATTTTCCATTTTACTAAAAAAATTAAATAAGACTAATATTTAAAATATTTAAAAATATAATTAAAATAATTTCGTATTGAATATACTATATCGAAATGATGCATTTGTTATATATTAACACGTCTGACAAGTGACGATATATTTTCGTACGAAGCTATAATCATATAATCAAATTCCATCGGTGTGAACGGAATTTACGGTGTCCAGTTCCAGTCCCTTTAGAACTAGAGCCCAATTTATACACAGCGACAGGAATATAAAATAAAATTCAACGTAAAATATAATTTTTTTTCTCACCTATTATTTATGTTTTCAATTAGATCGATTAAATTTAAAAAGTTTTATTTTAATTCTTTAAAATATCTGCGATTTAATGTGTTATTTGGGAGAGGAATCTTGTTCATAAACATAGAGATATAATCAATAATATCAAAGATTTGGTGGAGAAAGATTGATGAGTTGTATTTGTTGGGATCCCGAGAGAGATTAATTAAGTAGCTCATGTTCTTGCAAGTTGGGGAGCTAGACTAGGAACTCAACATGTAACATGAAGGAGTCCTCCAAATTTTGTGTTTCAAGTGTACGGGGATGATCTTTGTTCGTTACACTAATTTCATTTTTTTCTTGTTTTTGTTCTTTATTTTTTCCACAACACAAAAAGAAAGACTAAATTAATCATTCCGTTAATTTATCAGTTAATTTAATCATATATAACAAGTTATAAAGATGTCTCATCAACTAAATTTAACCAAAAATAACGAAATAACCAATTCATCTAATATATAAAAATAATTCAAAAAAATAAAGTAATGTTTTTTTAACTTTAAAATATCATATTGAAATTTAAAATAAAAATAAAAGACTTAAATTATATTTTAACTTAAAAGTTATATATAATAAAAGAAGTAACATGTGGAAATTATGTGAAAAATCATTTTTACTATAATATGGCCACCAAATAAAAAGACTC